TTATTTAACCTATGAACACATCTAACAAGTGGGCCAAGAATGACTTGTCCATAGGCCACCCAGAGCTTTATTGCTAACCATGATCTTAAGTCAACACTGTTCACGGCACTACAAGGAAATTTGCGCCTACTCCCTGTTGCTTTCTGCAATTCAAGGTTCTTGTGCTATTTCCTCAACAACCCAAATCCCTGCACATCTGAGTAACCACTTCACCTCCAGTGTCCATTTTGTCTTCTAGATGGGTGGTCTTTGCACATACCATATGTATGTTGGGGCAGCTAAGGCACACACAGAAAGCATTTTATGAAAGCTGGCTTTAGGTGTCCATCATTATGTCGGAACTGAGTTGGAAAATTAGATACACTTCACTTCAAAATATTTTATATGGAGATTATGCTTTTATTTATAAAAATGAACCAGGCTTCCCTCATTTTACAACAACCACGAGCAGTATAAATTGATATAAAATCTCACACTCAATTATTGCTTCTTCTTTCCATCTCCCCCCCCCCCCCAAAAAAAAGAACGGTCTAAAGTAATAAGCTATACGTCACAGTGTCTGAAATTGCTGCCCCTTCCATCATGGCTTGCATTTGTAACAGAACTTGCAGTTAACTTTTAATATGATGAAACAGTAACTAATGCATGTTCCCTTTCTAGCATAAGTTTGAAGCTAAAATACCCTTATAAAGCTGTCACATTTGGAACTACAGTACTTTGAAGTAAAATCTGTGAGTTCTACAGAAACCAGCAAAGCTGAGTAACCCTAAATGCGACTATCAGCTTTGATACAGAAATACACATTTTCCTGTAGAAGTAGCAATCCCCGACAATGAAACATTGAAACTTCCACACTCTATCCGACTCCTGCAAGGCATGCTATCCTATATTTTGTATCTCAGCTTGCTGGTTGCTTTTCTGGCTCACAGCCCTTTAACTCAGCAGAAAGCCTAGTCTATAGCCTCCAAACACGGTTCTCCTAACCTCTAAAAACCCAGCATGCAGTTTAACCCAACCAAGTTTCCCATCCAAACAACGCAGACAAACCCAGCCTGTGGACAAATTACCCCAAACCCCACCAAAAGTTTAGACCCCTTATGTCTTCCCTGACCCAGAAGCGTCCTCTTGAGACAGGATATTTAGGTTCTGCTTTTCCTCCTAAGGATCTCCTCAGGGTTGTATCTGCCAGAAATAATATTTAAAGTTGCACAGAGTGGCCGATCATTTGTGGCTCGTCCAGCCCGCGCAGGAAACACCGGAGAGAACACGCAACATTGGAAATTTGCGTCCCCACGTGCGAATATAGCATAATTCTAATGCACGTTGAAAAAGTTACGTTTTCCTTTCCTAATTAGAAGTCCCTGAACTCTCCCGCTACACAGTATTGCTATAATTTAACGGGTGCAGTCACTCCTCCCTGCTAGTCACGATCTCCCCCCCCCCGCCCCGCCCCGCACGCCTATTACACTTTCCCTCCACCTGTAGGCATAATACGCACGTCCCCTTGCAAGTGTCACCCGCCTAAAGTCAACCTCCACGGTCGGAAATGCAAGGCTGTCTCGGCGCGGAGGAGGAAATAACGAGCAGCCAGCTTTATTCTCCGGACAGTTATTCCCAACTCGAGATTTGTTGTGTCGCCCAATGACACTATTCAGGGCAGAGAGAGGGAGAAGAGAAGGGGGCGCGCGTGCGAAGGTGCCAAGTCCTTTTAAAAACATGTCACATGCTCAGATAAAGTTCAGAACCGGGTTCCTCCCCTCCCTCTCTCCCATTGGGCGGCGAGGAGAGCCGAGCCGCGGCACCAGGGTCTACGGCGCTTCCCATTGGGCGGAAGCTTTTGTCAGTCACCTGGCGGGCGACATGACTGATACAAAGTTGCTGCGACACAAGCTAGAAAATGTATCGCTCCTTAAAGCTGCAGAGCCTACCTAGGAGAGGCGCCCCGGCGGGGCTTGCGCGGTGGGGCGGTGGGACCTGTAAATTTCCTTCCCCTTCCCCTGACCCTCCCGACTGTCTTTTGCAGCTGGAGCTGCCGGGAAGAGCGAGACTTAGAAACTAATCGGATAATGTTTAAAGCGCTCCACCAAAACATATGGCCAGCGAAAGGGAAAATAGCTTTTTAGCAAAGCCTTCCCGCAGAAGAAATCCATTCAGGCGAGAGTTGGAGCTAGATCCACCCCCCCCATGCCCTGAAGCTGCGCCTCCTTCCTTCCCAAGCTACCTCCCCCCGCCTTTTTATTTTTCTTTTTAATGGAGGCGATATCCAGATCGGGGGCTGGCTTCCGAGCCTCCTTTCCCCGCCTCCCGAGGTCTCTCGGAGACATTAACTCCACCTGTACCAAGGTGAGCGCGATGGGGGCCGCTTCCGTTCTGCGCCCGAACCGTTGCCTCTCCCTCCTCCCCCCGCCTCCCCCTGCCAGGAGCCGCAAAAGCAACAACGGTCACGTTTTCGTGTCACCCCCCCCCTAATAAATGTCTTTAAAAAAACGAACACGAGCGCTGCCGATGTAAGAAACAGCTCTCCTTCCTCTCCAACCTCCCACCCCCCCTTTCGAAAACGCACACACAGAAACCCACCAAGCGCCTCAAGGACTTGCCCTCTGGTTCCCTCATTGCGTCTGGTATCTTCTTCGCCAAGTCCTGCTCGGGGCATTTTCTTTCTTTTTATTTAGGAAAGTTGCGCGGACTAATACCCGGGAGCCCTCCAACCGGATCCCCAAAACAAGAGACCCCCAAGGAGGGCTAAGGAGCATTCCCCCCCCCCGCGCGCTCCATCTTTGAGGGCAGAGTTTCTAAATATATTTTTAGGAAGGCACGGACATTTCTCTCTCTCTCTCTCTTCCTCCCCCCCTCCCCGCCACTTCTCCGTCTGGAAAGCTGGCTGAAATGACGCACGTTTCCGGGGGGTCAAGGAAGCAAGATCACCTCCGCCCGCCCGTGCCCCCCTCCCCAAATGCTGACCTCCCCCCAAACCCGAAGTCGACAGCAGCGGTGTAAGCGATTCCTCCCCCCCCCTTTCCTCCCGACAGCAGACATCGCCTCCCCCCTCCCCTCGGTTTGCGCGCACACACCCTTCTCGATCCCGTTTCTCTCCATTTCATACCCAGACCAAAATAACTCCCTGAGAAATAAAGTTTAATGGAATTCCAGGCACCCTGGGCGAGAGAGACTCGCGGAAAAAGTACCTCTGCCACGAGCGAGAAAACCGCTCCAAAAGGCGACTCGAAAATCAAACACGCAGGCAGACCCACTGACACACACTATCTCGGCTTCGTGCATATTTAAAACTGCAAAGACTGTTTTCTTCCTAAGAGAGAGGGCACAGCAGACCTCCACAATATCGGCAGACGATTTTAGAAGTCACGTGCCCCCTCCGGGTTTCAGCCCTTCTGACAGATATCGATCCCCGTTTCTACAGCTAATAACGCGCCGAAGAACTAGTGCAAGCTCCCGAATTGCTCTCCCAAGGCCGGAGTGCTTGCAATGCCCCCCCCCCAACCCCCAACCAAGTTTTTAAATTGGGTATGGCCAGCACTGGCAGCGTCCTGGAAGTGCCTCTTCTGCACATCCCCTCCCCAAGAGGAGATTCTGAGTTACTGGTGTTCCCAATTACTTCGCTCTTTTTCAAAATAAATAAATAAAATCTCACCATCCTGAGAACTAAATACATCTGGACCTCCAGCTCTTCCCCTCCATTAAAAAAAGGAAAGCTCTTTTCTTCCCTGGAGGCGCTGGGACTCTAAGCAAAGTGTGGCGAGCTGCCCGCCCCCCACCCAACCCCACCCCCCCGGGTACTCACCTTCATTTTTCCGTCACCCCCCGCGTCGTGCAATGGCCGGAGGAGGCAAGACCCTGCACTTCTGCGAGTCCGATCCAGAAGCGCAGCCAATGGGGAACGAATGGCCACGGAAGAAGGTGGATCCGGAGGAGATTTGGGGTTAAATCCTGGAAGCTGGGAGCGGGGGGGGGGGAGGTTGCGAGAGACTGAGGAGGAGGTTGCAACGCTCTCACACGCAAGACCCGGCAGCGAAGCGGGGGGAGAGCCGCCGTACTTCCAGCCTCTTTGGAGGGGGCGCCGGGGCCGCGACAGCGAGAAGTCCGCTCGGCTCAGCCTCTGCGCTGACAGCTCTCTCCGCAAGGCAAGGCTGGCGAAAAAGCTTTGCCCCCTGGCTGTCACATCGCCGACCGTTGCTGGAGGGCGTGGGGTTGGAGGTAGAAAGGGGAGGGAGCGTCGGATCCGGCAGGTTTTATTCTTTTTATTTTATTGTTATTATTATTCAAGAGAAGTCAGACGCCGTGGAGAAGGGTCACCCAAAATAAAATAAAATTGAAACTTCTGTCATTCCAGGTGAAACTCCCATCCGCGCCAGCAGCGCCGCCGAGGGAAGAGGTGGGTGGGAGACCAGAGAGCAGCTTCGGAGGGTGTAAACTTTTGGGGGTTTTTTCCCCCCTCTCCCACTGCGCGCGCCCTCCGCTCTTCTCTCTCTCTCCCCCCCCTTCTTTGCGCGCGTGTCCTTTCCTCTTCACCTTCTCCCGCTGCTGCTGCTGCCGCTTCCCCCCCTCACGCCTCCCTTCCTTTCTCCTTCCTCCTCGCCGCTTTTGCTTCCCGGTGTGTTTTTCCGCCTCGCTCCGTCTCTCGCAGTCACCCAGCGGGCTGCTGCTGCTGCTGCTGGAGCTGGTTCCTGGAGCTGCTGGAGGGAAGGGAAGGCGAGCGAGAGAGAGGAGGAGCTTAGCGGTCTCCCTCCCTCTCTCGCGCTCTCGCTCTCTTTCCAGGCGCGTCTCGCAGCAGCGGGCTCGGAAGAGCCGCCTCTCCGCCCCTCCCGGCACCAAAGTGCAGGCAACGGCGGGAGCGCTGCAAGGGCTGTCTCCGGCCGGCTTGGGTCGAGGGCTGGCCGCCCAGCCGCGCTTCCACACCCAGGGAGGGGAGGCGGGTAGAGCAGGCCACGCAAGGCCAGCCCAGCCAGCGAGCGAGCGGGCGGGCAAGGCTGAGCTGCACACGCATCACGCGGAGGGAAACGCTCCCGCTCCGAGCGGGGAGGGCAGTTTCCGCCTTCTGCGTACTGTACCTACAGTAGGCGCGCCTTTCCCGGGCCAGGATTCCCACCCTCTGCCCCACATCCAGCGACGCGCCACAACAGGTTCCTGTTTCTTTTTCGGCCCCCCCCCCCAGGCGCGTCCACCCCGCCACAAGGACCGGGCCCTCCTCTCGCGGGGAAGTTTGAGGGCTGCGTTCAGGACAGCGCCAAAGAGTCGAAAGAAGAATGGATTTCATCACTCGGTGGGTTTGGAGAGCGGCGGGTGGGCTCACAGCGCAATCCATGCGCCCTTTGGCAATGTGAAACGGGCTGAGATCAGGCTAAAACTCATCGGGGATCATGATTTATTAACTCGAAGGCTGCCTTCGCCGTATCATGCCTTGCATCCAAGTCTGTCGACTTCCGTGCACAAACCATTAATTATCCAGATTCCAGACGGTGTGGTGCAAAATCACAAATTGGAACCCAAAGAGTTGGAAGTCCTCTAGTCCAGCCTTTCCCATCCTTGGGGCTCTTCTGGACCACAGCTCCCATCAGCCCCAGGCAGCACTGGGAGTTGAGGTCCAAAATATAGCCAGGGGCCCAGGTTGAGAAAGGCCACTCTAAAACAACCCTATGCTCAGTGCATGATCTGTAATGCAGGATGCAACCACAGCATGGCTGAAATGGCCATCCAGCCTTTAGTTTGCTCAGATACATTTGCTGCAGCAAAACAAAGTCTGCCACTACCTGCTGAGGCAGTTTGGTCCACTATGGAGCAACTCCTATAGTCAAGAAGTTTCTCATGTTTTTGCTAGAATTTCTTCTGTACAATTTCCACCCATTGGTTCTAGAACTGCCACTAGGAACAACAGAGTAGAAGCCTGCTCTATCTCCCTTGAATGACAGTCCTCCAGTCTACCCTATATTAGTGGATTTTATTTCTTGCACTGTACCTAATTTCAGGACTTTTTATCATGTTGGCTTTGGCCTAGTTTTACAGCCTGTCACAATTATTTTGAATCTTCCATCTTCTCATCCAAGGCCTTCCCCTCCAGCTTGTTTCTCTATTGGACTTCTTCCCACCCTTCACCATTAGGTGAAGATGCTAAACAGACAATCACAACTAGCACAGGAATAGAAATTTCATGGTGTCTATATGGAGCCAGAATTATTCAGGCAATATTTCCTACCCTTGCCCCTGTTCCTCTCTGGTAGCATACCAGGCAGCAGCTCCAGCCAAAAAATATCTGAGGAAAGCAGGTGGAGCAGGGCAGCTGGGTCTTCCTCAGTCTGTGATGGAAGTCTTCCCTTGTTGGCAGCTGGTAGGCAGGGGCAAAGGAATGGGGCTGAGCAGTTGGACTTCACTGAGGGCTCTATGGCATGTCACCCTGGTGGTGCGGATGTGTCATTTGGGGTGGCCCAATGCTTATTTTAGGGTGCACGGTTACAGTTCCCTTACTCATAACTGCAGACTGAGGTCATTGTGCATTAAACTGCTTTGCCCAAAAGCAAGCTTTTTTTGTTCCAGAACATGACGATGCACTTCAAAGAGGAGAGTTTCCCGATGATGGAGATGTATGATATAGTGTATTATAATGCATATTGCATATTATTGGGTCAAGTTAACGGTTTAGGCTATTCATGGAGTGCTCTGTTGAATAAGGAACTGGGAACCAACCTCAGCATCATAAAAAGCAAATAGGACTGTGATAACTGCAAGGTCACCACCTACTTCCCAATTGCTGAGATATAGAACTTGCAAAAAACCCCACCACATTCAACCTTATTCAGCACACTTGGTACCAGTTCACCATTTTTGGTGTCATGGCTTGTGTACTCAAGCCAGCTTCCAGGTTGTGGCTATAAAATGATCAGCAACATTTAGCCAGATATGGACTGATTTGCTTATTAATGCAGCTGATTATATTTAATTGTACTGTGTGTCACTGGAGATCGCTACTGAAAGAATGAAAAATTCAGACCTGGATGCTCAGCTTTCCACTCACTCATTGGGAAACTAACAGCATGCCTCCATTACTACTGAGAAGTCAGTCCTCATTGTGTATAGGATTGCAGCCTAAACTTTCTATTTGTGCCTTAGAGGAACAAGTGGCAACACATGTATTTTTAGCAACTTTTTAAGAGCTGTTGTTAACAACCATAATATCCTGAACAAAAATAATAATCCTAAATGTTATGAATTAATAAGGCCCTAGGTAATTGGAGATGCCCTTCAAAATAACCACACACACACACACACAATTTTAAGTCGAGCATGCTTTCAGGGTAGATTAACACAATACTTTTGTCTTTGTCCAAATAGTGCACCCACCATACAAAGCTGAATTTACAAAATAGCATAATATCTATCTTAACACAGCACAAGTGCAAAGAGATCAAGGATTGTATGAGTTTTAAGATTCATTATCTAAACGAGTAGAGATTTTTTTATTATTATTAAAAAAATGTAGCCAAAAGTGTGTTGTGATTACCTACTGCAGCCATGCAGTAATAAGTGAATGCTCAGAGCATCAGGCCACAATTTCCAAGTAGGTCAAGAGTAGCAGTAAGGGCATTTCAGATAAGAAATTCTCTTCCCTTCCATTAGATTTTATAAGAAAGGTTAACTTGTGTCAGATACATGACATTGAAAGCAGCAGTCAGACAAATGTAAGCCATTCTGTGGCAGATGTCATCTTTGTTCCCAAAGATAGATAGAGATAAATGTGCTGTGGATAATGCATTGCAAAACAAGATTACGCTGAAGTTCAGCAAGTGTCACATTTCCCCTCCACCCTACAGCTAGACTGAGTTTATATCGGGGGCAGCAGGAGTAATGGTGCAGTGCCAAATCAGTCTACTGTACAGTGTTATTTAATGGTCATGTGTCTTATTTTGAGAAGTGGATGGAGTTTTGAACTGGTTCCAGTTCAAGCAGCTGGGCATTTGCTATTCCAACCTTGCTTGATCAACATCTATCGCATAGAACATTACAGTTCTAAATGTTATTTCTTCAACTTTTGTTACTGATTAATTTCTCACAGGAGAGGTGGTGTGACTCACTGGAAGCCCAGCTCTGTGACCAGGAAGCCCTTCCTCCTACTCTCAGATGTGTGTGTAGGGGGGATGATTATATTCATCGTAATGAGGGCAGGGTACTCTGCCCATATGTAAAGGCAATCATCTTATTGTTTAGTATTTTTTAAGGTCATGTGTTGGTGGTATTTTACGCTGGTTCCAAGGCACAAGCTCTGGGTCAAATTGAGCCACAGCTGTAGATATTTTTCACTAGGCTGTTTTCTTTTGTTAGAGGCAAAATGAAAACCAAACTTTGTCTTGACATGACCCCCGAGATGAAGCAAATACAGTGTTCTGTAATCTACTAGATTATTTTATTAAAATGATCTAGGCTCCAAAGAGATGCTTTCAACTTTCTATGCCTAATGAAATGAAATACATCAACACATCTTATACTTTCTGTTTACATTCTTATTTTGCATTAATATTTAATCCACAATCTATTTTTAACTCCTAGTGTCCCAACTCCAGCTATATACTTGAATGATTTAGCTGAATTACAGGATATGCTCCCTTTTAACCTAGTTTCTCTCTCCCCCACCCTCCCCCACTCCTAAATGCCATTTAATGGCCCAAGCAATAAATGTGGCTGAACCACTTCCAAGGATAGTACAGTAAGATTTCTAATGCATATTGACATTAACAACCACGGCCTTGTATTGGAGGGGGTGTGGGGTGTGGGAAGAACATGGCATTTGGAAACAGGTTACAAACATATTTTAATGTTGTACTTTTGTTCACTGAGCTCAGCACTGAAGTTTTGGCAAAGTATTACATGTTTGAAATATGACATTGATCAAGCATTTGGCAGTGGCTACATTGACCAGGGACCCATTGGTGCGGTTTCAGGTCTGAGTAGAAGAGCAGGCTACCTCCAGCTGATGATGTTCCAGATGATGTTTCTTTCTCAGCTCCCATCAGCCCCAGCCAGTTAAGGATGATAAGTTTTGTAGTCCAACAACATCTGGAACGAGTTAGCAACAAGTGTAGTCAAGTGAGTAATTCAGTTCATAGGTTTGTTTTTCTAGCCAAAGGCTATGACATACTTGTATTAAGCAGTAGTATTAATAAAAGAATACAGAACACAATCCATAATATAAAAATCCATAATAAAAAAGACTTTGGCAAGTTCCTGAGCATTAAAACACAGTTTCCCTTGTGCATCTCTGACAGCTCCAATTCTCATATTATTTTGCCTTTTTAAAATCCAATTTGCCAACAACCATGATGTGAGAGAGGTTACCAGAGACACCAGAAAACTCAAATCCAGCTAGGTTTGAGATTAACCTCTGATCTCCAACCATTTTATAGCAATTTTTCCTTTTCCTTTTTCCTGATCCCCACCCCTTGCAGCCAATGCATAGAGGGCCACTCTCTGTGTTACAAAGATACAAAATAAACCAAACCATTTCTGCCAGAGTGTGGCGGTTTGCTTGGGTGAACAAACGTTTCAAAAAGAGATCTTTTGGGTCTTCAGCACACTTTATCATTACACATTTGACCTCTTCATCCTTAGTTTCCCATTCCAACAACAAATTGTACATTCTCGATAATATTTTTGTACCACATTCTATTATTTCCCTCTGGAATTCTGAGATTTCATGAGCAAATCCTTTCTTTTTGTCATTTTTAAATAATTCATTTACCTGGAAGTGTTGTAACCAATTCACTACTTCACCTCTTACTTCATTGTATTCTCTCAATTTTAATTGATTATCTACTTCAACTAATAATTCTCTATATGTTATCCATTTTGTTCTCATATTTGGCTTCTTTACTGAGATTGCTTCCGTTGGTGAAATCCACCAGCATTTGCAATTTTATGACAAAAGACAGAATTAGATACAAATAGATGGAGAATTCAGTTTGGACATGCATGAAATAATAATGAAATAATGGAACCATGGAGAGGGTAGGGGGAAGTCAAGGGATTTGAGAAATCCCACATTTGGATATTGTATAAACAGTACGAAAAACGTTACAGTTGTTTTTTTATTTAAATTTTTTCTTTTCAGTGTTTATTTTTATATGATGTTTGTTTTCATTAAAACTAATAAAAAATATTTTTTTTAAAAAAGAGATCTCTTGGTTTCTATATAAGGTGCAGCCTAACAGATAATGAGTGGTGTCTTCCACCTGAGGTTGACCACAAATACAAAGTCTGTCTGCTTATGGGATCTTGCTGAAGTGGTCATTCAAGACTGCAATGGGCATCATTTGGAAACACAGCCCAGTCAAGGCATTTCTTAAAGAAACAAGTGAGAGTCTGGTCAGATAACTAGCTCTAAAATGCTCTGTCCAAAAGAGTGGATACGAAGGGGGGGTGAATTGGGTGTTTCTACTTTGTTGTAGGCCCCATAGTCAATCCCTTAGTCAAGTGAGTATAGAAAGGAGAAGTACTGGTGGCAGCAGTCATGGAAGGTTGGGCTAGGCATTCAGGAGCAATCAAACCTCTACGGTTGATGGCTTGCTAGTCACACTGAGAAACAACAGCAGGTCCTGCAGTTTGTGTAGGCAGAGGTGGGAAGGGATAACTAGACTCTCTCTGCTTTGAAGGGCTTTGCCTAGAAGCTTCTGTCAGTTAACCTGGAGATCTTGCAGTCCCAACTCCCCAACTAGCTCTCCTGATGGTTCATTGTAAGTAGTTGTAGCCTGCTTTCCAAGGCTCCAGGTTCAAGCCCTGCAAAGCCTAGCCAATTTTCTCAGTTGAAGCACTGGTTGCACATGCAGCATCTGAATCTGCAGTTGCATCAGAGTAAGCTTCAGGATTTTAAAAAAAAAAATCCACCCTGATCCAGAGAACAAATTCAGCATGCAAAGTCAGGTTCCAGTCTGTGCACTTTCTACTTTTTAGATCAGTAAATGCATTGATATGCATTGCTTTCAATAAGATAGACAGGCTCCAGACACATTCTAGTGCAACTAGTAGTACACAAATGCTTTTTAAAAGCATGACTAGATTGGACTGGGGCCATAAGCCTCCATGATGAAGTATGAACATTGAGAATGGGAGCTGTGGGTTCTTTTATTGCAAGACCTACTGCTGTTCTGATGTACTATGAAAGGTAAGGGAGCTATCATAGCAATTCACTGTCTTCCTGGCTTCCCCATTCCCCTGTCCAAATACCGCTTGTGTAATAACTTTGGAAGCGACCTTGGAGGTCATTAGTCGGGGATCCACAATACAAGATGCAGCTACATCATCCCTGACAGATTGCTAGTATGTATAGACTGTTCCAGTATCAACCACCTGAAGACTGGAGGGGGGTGGGTAAAGGAGAGAAAGGAGACTAATCAAAATTTAAAGTGGTTGCTATATTGGTGCTTAATATATCAGTCAATCTGATTGACAGTCATACTTCTTGTCTCCAGGGCACTTCTGGCCTTTTCCCCATAAAGACTTTGGCCTGGGACCAAACCAGGACATTATGGATGTATTATTATTATTATTATTATTATTATTATTATTATTATTATTATATCATTCTATACCACTTTATATTTTTAATAATCTCAAACCAGTTAACAATCTACATTAAAACATCAAATCCAGAATAAAACATCACCGAATAAAGCCAAATATAAAGGACATTTTCAAAGCAACATAATTAATAGGAAACTAAAATATTATCTTAAAGATTTCAAAATAAAACATGACAAAGGAGGTCAACTGCAGAATGTACGTTTAATGCAGTTAACAAAAAAAGGTTTTATCTTAAACATTTCAAAGAAAACCATGGTTAAAGGAAGTCAGATACAGAATGCACATTTAAAACGGGGCTGGGCTGGGGGATTGCGTGGCTTCCGTGGCTTCTGATTGTGTGCAGCAAGCTCCTGCAGCCAATCAGAAGCCGCACCTTGGTTATCGAATGTTTTTGGAAGTTGAATGGACTTCTGGAACAGATTCCATTTGGCTTCCAAGGTACGACTGTACAGTGGTACCTCGGGTTAAGTACTTAATTCGTTCCGGAGGCCTGTTCTTAACCTGAAACTGTTCTTAACCTGAAGCACCACTTTAGCTAATGGGGCCTCCAGCTGCTGCCGCACCGCCGGAGCACGATTTCTGTTCTCTTCCTGAAGCAAAGTTCTTAACCTGAGGTACTATTTCTGGGTTAGTGGAGTCTATAACCTGAACCATATGTAACCTGAAGCGTCTGTAAACTGAGGTACCACTGTACTGTGAATGTGAGGATAACAGAGCAGCTAGTTGTGAACTAAGCCACATTTCATTGCTGCATCATATTTGCTTTATTCTGCAAAAAATGCTGTGCTGAACATGTAAGTTGCTGGTTTTATTTTATTTTTAATTAGGATCAGATTAACTCTACACTTAGAGGGGAACTGGCTGGCAGGCACCCATATTGTTGCACAGCAAAATGGCTTCCAGCCAACTGGTTTTCTTCTAGGGTGCAAGCTGTAGGAGCTTCAAGCAGGCTGCTCACTCAAGACTTTCTCTGACTGAGGGCGGATTTTTCATCATCACAATCACCCTGTAATTACTGAAATGATCCCGAGGAGCTAAATATTAGAACCTTTTTTTTTTCTGGCTAGAGTTAGACACCACATCTTGGACTTTCCTTTGCTCTGTGTTTCAATTTTAGATGTGGTCTTTATCCAGCCAGCAATAAAGAGGCATGTTTGTTTGCCTACTGTAAGACGTGCGAGTTTCTTTATTCTGCAGTTATGATGATGATAAGGGGTGAAATAAAGAGATAAAGTGATCTGAAAAAGTCTACACAAGTTACTCTGCTCTTTTAAAGCACTCACTATACTCACAAACATAATGGCTATTTTTTTTGAGTTCTTTATGGCAAAGGATGAAAATAGCCCTAGAGGAACAGAAACACTGGTGTGCACATGACAGTTAGCTGACTGGCTACTTAGGCTATAACTCTAGCCTAATTTATTATTTCCCCAACGTGAGTAGCTCAGCATGAGACCTTTTTGGGTTTTCTGTGCAGAAATATGAACCCAGCAATCAGTAAAAAAAGAAGATAGAATTGCTTTCCACTATTAGTTTCAAATTGCTTAGTTAGTCCTTTATATAGCAACCAGTTAAAAACTTTTCCTTCAATTGTTCAACAGGAAGGAAAATCTAACAAGACAGAAGCAAGACTAGAAGGAGGAACCCTCAAGAAGGACTTAACACAGAGACCCTAAAGTATTTTATTTTTTTACTGGAAAAGTTCGTTTTTCAGGTGGAATCTAAAGATGAGATACCTAATCCAGCAGCAGTCTACCTCAGCAGCTCATTATCATTACCAAAGTTCATGAAGAATCAGAACAGAGGGGCACGGAGCACAGGTGGAAGTCAAGTTTTTGAGTCTGGTATTCCTGGAAATCTCTCAAAAAAATAATGAGACAGTTCATCAGATTAAACTTCATACCCAAATGCTAAATTTTATGTTAACTTGACCTTTGTTGTTGTTTAGTTGTTTAGTCGTGTCCGACTCTTCGTGACCCCATGGATCAGAGCACACCAGGCACTCCTGTCTTCTACTGCCTCCCGCAGTTTGGTCAGACTCATGCTGGTAGCTTCGAGAACACTGTCCAACCATCTCGTCCTCTGTCGTCCCCTTCTCCTTGTGCCCTCCCATCTTTCCCAACATCAGGGTCTTTTCCAGGGAGTCTTCTCTTCTCATGAGGTGGCCAAAGTACTGGAGCCTCAGCTTCAGGATCTGTCCTTCCAGTGAGCACTCAGGGCTGATTTCCTTCAGAATGGACTTGACCTTTACATAGTCCATTATGTAAGTTAACCCACACTCCGCATGGAGGAAGAGTGAAGGTGGCCTGAGCCTCACATCCTCGATGCCAGTGAGGGGAATTGGGTGGCAGTATGCACCCTAACCAAAATACCCTACCTAGAAATCTGGCTGCCTCACCTAACAAAGATAACTGTCTACAGTGCTGCCCCTACCACATTTTCTATTCCCAACTGACATTCAACATGCTTTGGCTAAGTAGCATGCTCAGTTTTCATTGGGCTGTGTTTTTTGGTAGGTGTTAGATAGATTGATAGATCGATAAATGCTTATTCACCAAACCTGAGAGGTCCCCTGAGAATGCCAATACCTACCATTTGTTTCTCAGTGGCTTTAGGTTGGTTCATTTTTTGTCACCACCTGATTTCACTCAGAGAGCAATTAATTTCCAACATGCATACAGGAACATAGGAAGCTGCCTTGTAGCAAGTCAGACCATTGGCCCATCTACCTCAGTATTGTCTGCTCTGACTGGCAGCGGTTCTCTAGGGTTTTAGACAGGAGTCTGTTCCCTAGTGGAGGCACTGAACCTTCTGCATGCAAAGAGAGCCAGTGTGGTGTAGTGGTTAAGAGCAGTGGACTCGTAATCTGGTGAATGGGGTTTACGTCTCTGCTCCTCCACATGCAGCTGCTGGGTGACCTTGGGCTAGTCACAATTCTCTGAAGTCTCTCAGCCCCACTCACCTCACAGAGTGTTTGTTGTGGGGGAGGAAGGGAAAGGAGATTGTTAGCTGCTTTGAGACTCCTTAGGGTAGTGATAAAGCGGGATATCAAATCCAAACTCCTCTTCTCTTTTCTTCTTCTCTACCATGGAGTTGCTGCCCTTCCTTCGGTTCTGTATAGATCGCCTCAGTTTGTTCACCCTCATCCAATCCATTACTGTACCCTAGCCCTGATTCAAGATGCCCACATGTTGTTCTTGTTCTTGCAAGGTAGTACTCACTACTCTCTGGGTTATACATTATTAGTCTATGGAATAGACATATGTATTATACGGAGAAGTTAATGGTTGAGGATAGGTCTGCTGCATGAACCTAATGATGCTTACTCAGCCTCTGGCTTCACAGTGGGACTTGGGGGCAGGTGTACAGAAGCTTTCAGCTGCAGAGCCACTTCAGCTTCCTGCTGCCTACAACTGCCAGGAAAGCTTAAAGGGGAAGCACACTTCCTTAAACACTCAAGGCATTTGGGTTGGAGAAGCATGCTCCGCTGCAGCTCCATGGAGCATGACCACTGCAATTTGGAGATACGCATCTCCCCTTCACACTTAATTTTTACCATGGTAAGCATATCAGAACACCCACAGA